ACAGCAAGAAAAGAAGGGCTTCAAATGCATAGCACAGACTGCAACAACATACAAGCAGTGTAACTTGTTTACAAACAAAGGGTCTGGGACCAGGCAGACTCAAGTTCAAATCCCCGCTCAGTTGCTCATTAGCTATGTGACCTTGGGCAGAATAATTACCCTCTCTAGGCATGAATTTGTGGCTCTAAAATGGGTATAATAGTAACTCATACTGTTGTTTGAAGGATGAAGTCACACAGCACATGAAAAATGCTTAGCGCAGCACAAGACACATAGGCAAATATTAGCTATTCTTATTTTTAATGATAAATTTTTAATTTCTCCTAATTCTCCCTAAGATGAATACATGGCTTCCTTATTCTTCAATAATAGAAGTTCTTGTAAGAGAATTATACCTCTAGTCACCCTTCCAAATGTGGGATTAAATTCATTCATTCATCCATCATTCATTCTGGCTAGTAACCCAAGTACTGCCTGGGATAGCAATGGCATTGGTGCCCAGTGAGTCACCTCCATGGGTGCTGCGAGGTATTCACCTGAACAAATTTTCCCAGCAGATAGTTGATAGTAATCCACCCATAGGCACCTTCCTCTTGGCCAGTGATAATCCTGGCACCCCGGAAGTCAAAGGGCTGGTTGCTGAGGCACTTCATCACCACAGCCATGACCCTATCCGCCAACTGTTCATTTTCCATCCTGCACAAAAGAAGAGTTGAGGTTACCATTTTTGTTTTAATAACTACACCCACCCATTTCAGCTAGAGCTTCCACACAGTGCTCCTAAGAAGTGAACTATAACACACTGAAATAAATGGAGAGATGGAGATCCCTATACACGGCTATCAGAGGAACTCTTCTTTCAGATGAGGCAGAACTTATCTTTTGATCCCATCTCTCCAAATCCAAATCCTTCCAGTCCTTGGGTAGGTTGGTCTTCCTAAAATACCATTTTTGTTCTGTTGTTCCCTGGCTCAAAAAAAAAAATATCAAAAGCTCTTAAAATTACTGTGCTGGTGGTAGCTTTTTATTGTTTGATTACTACACCTAAAGTTGGTGTGTGCTATATTAGCCATTACTGGTCGCTCCTAGCTGGTTACATAACCAGACTCTGCTTGAGGTTTTTAATTATGGCGTTAGATGAAAACAGGTGGAAAATAACCTGGGACAGATATTCAACCTCCCCTGCTGCCAGACTGGGAAAAATCTTCCTCATATTATGTGGTCTTGGGTATGTTTTAGACTGTGAAACCTAAAGAAGTCTTCCAGGACTGTCATGATAAAGATGAGATGCAATTTCTTCTAAGATCTAGGCTATGCAACGCTGAGAGCTTCTGGGTGAGAGGATGTTACCTTCCAGCTGACATTAGACCCGTGTAATTTCTCATCTGAATGGCTCCCATACCCACTAACTGCCTTCTTTTTATTCACAGCTTTCCTCCCCTCCAATCCATCTTCTCTCCCAGTGTCGCCATTTGTGTAACACCCTTTAATAGCTTCCTACTATTTCCAAGATAAACTCAAACTTCCTAACATGGCCCACATGTCACTTTATGGTCTGGACCCTGCCATCTCAGAATCCCACTCAGAACCAAGGCATGTGACATTGGGTGAGTTACCTAACATTTGTAAGCCACAGCTTCCTTATCTGGTTAGTAATAGTTAATAGTATCCCTGACTTCATAGAGGTGTTATGATGATTTAATTAAACAATGTATGTTAAGTGCTTAGTACCATGCTAAGAACAAAGCAAGGGCTCAATAATATGAACTGCTATCTACTATTATTTTACAACATACACCCTATCTTCTATTTATGTGGAACTACTTACAGTCCTTTGAATATGCCCTGGTCTCCCACACTTCCTTGCCTTTGCACTTCCATTAAAAGATACTCCATGCACCATGCTAAGAACAAAGCAAGGGCTCAATAATATGAACTGCTATCTACTATTATTTTACAACATACACCCTATCTTCTATCTATGTGGAACTACTTACAGTCCTCTGAATATGCCCTGGTCTCCCACACTTCCTTGCCTTTGCACTTCCATTAAAAGATACTCCATGAAGTCAGGGACTTACTCCTGTTCACTGCTGCAACCCCAGCACTTAGAACAATACCTGACACGTTAATAGGTGCTAAATGAACATTGGTTACGAAATTCATGTTGTCAGCTCTGCCTGTAATGCCCTTTCCTCACCCTCCAACTCGTCCTTCATAATTCAGCCCACGTATTCCCTCTTCTGGTAAGTGTTGACCTCCTCTGGGCAGGGCCAAATGTGCTCCCATAGCAGCTCTGGGCACTTCTGTATTAAAGAATTGATCACCCTGTATCAAAACTCTGGTTCCCTTGAGGGCTGAATCATCAACTTCCTATTCTTGACAGAGTAGGCACTCAATATGTGCTGAATGAATGAATGAACAAGTGAACAAATAATGCACACGAGTACCAAGCGGTAACCAGCAAAGGTGCTAGTTGTGATTATTTATGTCTTTGGATGTCTGTGAGTCTCTTCTAGTCTTCCTCCTTCCAGATATTGAATGGCTAAGTCTGTAGCCCCAAATCCCAGAGTATATAGGCTCAATTTTCCCTGCCTTTGCACTCTCCCCCTTGAATTTTCCATGGGGAAATGGACAAGAGGACTTTTTCTATATACTTAAAATCATAACACTATGCATACTAAGAGTTTGGAAGTTTAACTCACTTATTGAAATTGTATTTCTTTGGTATGGACTTTGGGATGTGTATAATTTAGGGTGTTAGGGAAGTGTGGTCCTTTCCCATAATTTCAGAGGCTCTTGCACTGCCAAGCCTAACTCCCAGCATTCTTGGTCCCTATGCGCTGCTATACCTGAGCAACCGCATGCCTGCCGTGGCTCCCAGGTAAACAGGTGTCCCTTGGTGCTGTAACCTCGGAATCACATCCCTGGCTCTTTCCATGCATTCATTCAGGACACTATGTAATTCATTTATATTCTGAACATATTTTGAGATTCCAGGACCTAGGGAAAGATGTAGAAAATGATGACAAACTTAAAAAAAAAAAAAGTATAGCATATACACTGACAACATTAGAGCAAAAATATGGTGTTTTCTGAAAAAAATAATAAGAAAACAATTTCCTGATGTGCTACATACTAGCTTGGTGTACTTGGAGGGTAACGCACCATATTTAGTCTTCAAACGTCAGGTTGGGTTTGTCTGGTGTTCAACACTGTCGCCACTGGATGGCACAATTTCATATTCAATTGCATGACATTCTCAGATTTTAATGGGGATCTTATAGATGGCTACTCTATTAGCTGCCTTTTGATGTTTCTTCCACAAAGCTGTACATAACACTAGCTCCCAAAAGACCTAAATAAAGATGACACTTAAAATAAAAATTAAAATAAGCACCGGACACACTGGGGCTTTGACTGAAAAGATAGAAGCTGTGCTAACTAGCTATGTGATCATGGCCAGCGCCCTAAAATTTCTGAGGAGGAGTTTCTTCCTTGCTAGAAGAAACAGGAATAGAGTCCTTGTCTCCTTAGCAACTTTTCCACGCCGATACCCTGCCTCCCTAGTAAAACTGTTTTTCCAGTTTTAGAGCAAAACTAACTGTTGCTATGGAGAGAACTGGAGCCAAGATTCCTAAGCTTTTTGAAGTTAACACTCAACACTTTTCATCTCACATTAAGATAAATATCTACACTATCAGGGCTTCATAGCGAGTATTTGCTTTAAAGATAATTATTGAAATAAGTTAGGCAGACCATTTACAGGTTTTTAAACAGCCTGTTAACTGTAATGAGAAAATCAGTTCTAAGTTATCGGCTAACGGTTTCAATTCAGAAAATCTGGCCTTAAATATTTAAATAACTAGAGAAATCTCTTTTTTGAGCAGGGAAAATACTGCATTTGTTAGGCCGAACGCTCAGGCAATGAGTCTCAGAAGAAAGACATCTGTTAGATTAAAAAACAATTCTTAAAAATGGAATGCAGTGAGTTAAATAAAAGCCAATAAAATGGGGGATTTGGGCTTTAAGAAATGCTGTAAGTAGCATCTCAGTATTGATGGGACCAAAGTCTTAGGATATCATGCTACTGGGTAGAATGGCTTGCTGTCTTGGAAATATCTCCTGTCTACTACTTTTATGACAAACTATGAAAAGTAGTGGGCTCCACAAGCCATCAGACTAAAAGTCAATTATCTTCTGGGATCTAGGGTTACGTGTCTGACCAAAAATAAACAGTGCATTCCTGGGTCAAAAGGTCGAGAGAAATAAAGGTCAGAGCTCACAGCGCCATGTGGTGATTTCTGGTACATGGTGGGATGCTGGGTGGAGGGAGTGGAGAGAGCTGAACTGTCGACAACTCTAACTTGTATTATGACTTTAAAAGAAAACTAACTAGAAAAAAAAATTAATATGTAATGCAGCAGTTCAGAGGAAAAAAACAAAAGAAAATATTACCAGGGGCTGGCAGTTAGCTCTCCGGGGAGAGTGTGGTGCTGATAACAAGGTTCAGGACTCAATCCCTGCACCAGCCAGCCATAAAAAAAAAAAAAGTAGTAGGAAGCCTGGAGTGCAGTTAGAAGAGCTGGATTCTTGTCCTGGTTCTGTTGCTACCTACGAGGCACTAATCCTCCAGGCTTCTGTTTCCTTCTGTGTAAAACAAGATTTAAACGAGGTCCACAAGGTCCTTTTCCCAGCCTTAATAGCCTATGGTTTAGTCTTTTCTGCCTACACAAAAGCTGAAGGCTTTCAAAAATTTCTTCCAAGCTGTAGATTAGAGTATAAAGATTAACACAATTCCTTGAACTTGTTAAGACAAGTGAACAGATATGATGTTGATAGGCCGGGAGTGGGGAGGAGGGGGGGAAAGAGGAATTGGTAAAGGAACACGAAAATCAACTACATTGTATATTGATAAATAAAAAATTTTTTTAAAGAGTATAAAGATTAAGAGAGCAGTAATTCTCTAAACCAACAGCATCAGCATCACATGGGAACTTGTCAGAAACGCAAATTCTCAGGTCTCATCCCAGATCTGCTGACTCAAACTCTGGGGTGGGGTCCACCGTCTGTGTTTTAACAAGCCTTCCAGGTGGTTCTGATAGTTTCAAGTTTGAGAAACACTGGCTAAGACATGGGTTCGAAGCTGGGCAGACCTCGGTTTGAACCCCAGCTCCATTTCTTACTAGCTCGAGTAACCTTTTACAAGTGGTATAACTTCTCTCAACCTCAGTGCCCTCATTTTTTAAAAATGGGAACAATACATACCCCAAAAGGAGGTTGTGAGGATGGAAGGAAATAACACACGTTCAGTACTTAGTGAAAAGCATGCAGTTGATGGGAGCCGTTACTACTCTATTTTAAAATTTGTTTTTTCCCCAAGGGCTTGATTATTAAGGACTAATTTTAGTATTACTTTTACAATAATAATAAATAACCATAGCAGCTCCACTGTGTTCTTCACTTGGCTTCCTATACTTGGGGCTTCTTTCTCGAGTTCTACATGCCATACACCCCTTGTCGTCTCATGCCCCACAGTCTCCCCTTCCCTTATTCTTCATCTTACCTTTTACCTTGCATTCTTCTACCTGATGCACCACCCCTGTGTCATTTTGCTTTTCTGCTGGCCACTTATAGATGTACAAACTTGTGTGAGAAGAGCCTGCATCCAGCACAATCCCATACTGAGGGCAAAACAAACCAAAAACTTATCAGTATCACATCATTCTTCTCTATATTCAGCTTGCAACAGAAAAGGGACAAAGACAGGAGTTTTCAAAGACATGAGGAGAAACATTTAATTCGAGAAGAACACTGCTGGGGGCAGCAGGGTTGGAGTTGCCCTGATGACAAGATCCACTAGGACACTAATCCTTCTAGAATAGGGCTCTTAATGCTGATTGCACATTAGAAATATTCAGGCCTTGCCCAGGGTGGAGCCCAAGCAGCAGTGTTGTTTAGAAGCTTCCTAGGTGATTCTAGAATGTGCAGCCAAGATTCAGAACCACATACTGAAGAATCTGAGACACTATAGAAGGAAGAGAAAGCCATTAATCTCGTAGTTCTCAAACTTGTCTACACATTGGAATCATACTAGAATCACCTGGAGAGCTTCAAAGGCCTGTCTTCCAGCCCCAGATATCCTGATGTAATTGGTCTGGTATGTGGCCTGGGCTTTGGAATTTTTATAAGATTCTAATGTGCAGACAAGTTTAGGAACCAATAAGTTAATCCACTGAGGGCCATATAGACATAATAAATATCTTCATCTGATTTCAGTTCAATGAATTTGGAGTTCGTTTTAAAGAGACATAGAAAATACTAAGCACACTTGCTTTTTAATTACAAAAATAACTATAAAATTGTATTCAATACATTTTTAAAAATATGTATTTAAGAGTAGGGGAGATAAAAGGACCAATAAAGGGAGCGCAAAAGTAGGGGGAAGAAGGGAAAACAGCATCAGGGAGAACTAGATGGTCAGAGGAGAAAGAAAGAAGAAAGTCACCACATCATATTTCATGGGTGCATTAATTTACCAGGCAGTTGTTGTATGAAGCGTTTTACATGAATTATCTGACTTAATTCTCAGAACAGTGCTATAAAGTAGGCACTATTTTTATCCCTTCTATATAGGTGAGGAGCTAAAGTGCAAAGAGTAAATCACTGAAGTGACTTACTAAAAATACACAGCTAATACATGACAGAGCCTTCATTTGAATCAGAGTCAGACTCAAGACCTTATACTCCTATACACAGAAACATAGGAGCAAAGGCTGGGCAATCGTTTTCAAATTGGTGCCCCCTTTTAAGGACATTGAATGAGGGATAGCTATTGCAAAGTGTGCAAATCTCAGGTGTACATCTCAATACATTTTTGCATATGTGCACATCCATATAACACCAAGATCGAGATACAGAACATTTTCTAACCCCCAGAAGGCTTCCTGGTGTCCCCTCAGTCACCTTCCTCTAAGAGTAACTACACTGTTTTGACATCTGTCACCATGGATGAGTTTTGCCTGTTTCTGAATTGCAATAAATGGACTTACATAGTGTGCCTCCTTTACCAACTTCTTTCACTCTACGCTCTCTGTAAGATGCATTCAAACTGTGTACATCAGCAGTTCATCCTTTTCCATTGCTGTAGAGTATTTCATTGTGTGCACATATATTTATCCATTCTCCAAACATAGCTGCCAGGACATTTTTGTACATTTCACTTTATGGAAATAAGCTCTTATTTCTTCTGGGTATATACCCAGGAGTAGCCTGCTGAATGCCCATTTCGATCAATTGATACTAATTTTTGGTTATATCCCTGGGCTTAATCAGGGGAAGAAATGCTGTGATTGATTAATGACATCTCCCATGGGCTTGTGAGGAGACCATCCTGGCACATGTATTTTTCATCATCCATATACTAGAGAGAAAAATGGATGGAAATTAATGGGGACACAAAAGGAAGAGAAACAGAGGAGGTACTTCTGAAACATGAACCAGATACTCTCATCTCACTTTGCTGCTCATTTGAGCTGTGGTCCTTTAAGTGTGGTCTGCCACTTGAAAAATACTTAGTTTAGCAATATGTATATACTTAGCAATATATATATATATCCTCATATTGTCTTATCACCTGATAAGAACTTAAGACCTTCCAGGAAGAAGACAAGAATGAGGATTTAAGAGACCTCCCTGGGCCACTAGAAATGGCTAAAAGTAGAGCCTATTTGAGTGTGAAACTTTATTTCACTTCACCACAAACCAAAGAGTATCACTGTGCAGACCTCGTAAGGATCCTTGACCCTCCATAACCTCCACAGTGTTCTCTGGCTTGTTACACACAGCAAGGAATCCCTCTAGTAATAATTGTTATGCCCTTAGAAAGAAAAGGGCCTGTGTACTTGCTTTGGGCAGCAAGGAAGCAAACTAGACAGACTCCTCTGCAGCTAGGCTTGCAGTGAAAGGAATCCAAGAAAAGGCTTAGGTGATGACCACTGTGGGCAGACAGCAACACTCCCTAAGGTCTGGGTCCTTTGTACCCATGGGAAACCCCCCGAGTGGAGAATGAGGCTCAGGGGCCACACAGCAGAAAAGTCTGTTGTTCCCTAGCAGGGCCCCTGAATTCTTCTTGCCAGAAAATGTTCCAACCACAGCGGCATAAGATAAAAGCTAGTGAGGCAGCAGCTGCAGCCAGCAGCCTTTATCTGGAATCAGGACATTGTATTACTTCTAACTACTGGCATAAAAGTCATTTTTCCAGTAGAGCCAAGGAATCAGCCTTGCTTTTATCAGCCTGTTTCTTTAAGGCCTTACACAGTGAGGTAGTTGAGAAACAAAAGCTTTTGCTACATTTCCTTTGGCCAGGGTTTGAGAGGGGGTGGAGTATATTTTAACAGAGGAACTGAGGACATTTCACCTTGTGTATGCGGCACACTGGAATCTAACTTGCTGAAGCGTGCCAAATGCTTTCTGTCTTCTAAAATGGTTTGCAAAATAATAAATTGGCATTGCTTGCTGCTTGAGAGACAGATAAAGCATGATTGTTTGAAAGTTCTCAGTTTGAACGTTTGGGGTTTACCTTTCATTGTTACAATGTCCATTTACAGCCCAGATAGCCACTACCTTTTGTTCTCTTTCCACCATACCAGCATTTTCCAATGCATGTTCCAGAGAGCATGACGCCTGCAAGGGTCTTGGCAAATAAAGCTTCCCAGAAGTTTAGGGGATACTCATGCACTCTCCCCATCATGGGCTCACAAGCCCATTAGCTAGTGAATGCCTCAGAGAAGTCTGGCGGTGAAGAAACCTAATGTTTCTCTGTAGCTCACACTTTGAACATTTCTAAAAGGTGCTGTATGTCCTTGACATTAAAGAAAAAAAAAATCAAAGATTTGGGTGATGAAAAAGAGATCTGTGGTTTGGTATTGGGTCATTCCCTTAATATTATTATTATTTTAATATTATTTTCTATCTTAAAAGTACTAAACGTTCATTAAATATCACCTAGAAAATGAAGGAAAAAAGGCAAAAAAGATTCCACCAACTAGATATCACTGTTATTTTTATTTATTTCCTAACAGTCTTTTTAAAATGTATAGTGTTTGGGGGATAGTTTTAATCTACTGTGCACACAATTTTGTCCTTAGCTAGTTTTTGGTCACAGGCATGATTTTAGTGATCACAACTAACCTTCATGAGCTATGTTGCATGAGCAGAACTGGTGGTCTAGAAAGCGGAACAGTAGAAATGCCCTTGCGTGGCTAGTGGAGACCTATGAAATGGGATTTGGGGAGTGAATTCACCCTCTTCTGCTCTTCTGCCACGTGAGAAACAGCGTTCTTCCCCTTCGGAGGATGCAGCATTCAAGACACCATCTTGGAAGCAGAGACCAGGCCCTTACCAAACACCAAACCTGTTGGCGCCTTGATCATGGTCTTTCCAGCCTCCAGAACCGTGAAAACATAAATTTCTGTTCTCTATAAACTACCTAGTCTATGGTACTGTTCTTGCAACACAAAACAGAGTAAGACGCCAGGCAACACAGGCAACAGTGTGATCATTAACTTCTCACGGTCCCTTCAGACACACTGGTTCTACAAAAACCTTCTTGAAAGTTCCTGTAGCTTTAATGGTAACTTCAGCAGCTTCATCAGTTGGTCTCAGTGATCCCGGGTTTATAAACAAAGCTTATCCTTTTGAATGTCCCTCTAGTACTCTATAAATAAATTATGTTAGCTATGAGATGCTAGCAGGGCCTATAAACATTTAGAGATTATTTTCTTCCATTCTTTTTTCTTTCATTGGAGTTACCAGATTTTTAATATAAACCAGTTTTTATGGGGTTTTGTTGTTGTAAAATATACATAACATTTTTTACCATTTCAACCATTTTTAAGTGCACATTACTGTGGTATTAAGTATATTCAAATCATTGTGCAATCATCACCACCATCCATCTCTAGATGTTGTTTTTAAACCAGACAATATTAAAACCCAGTAGAGTAAAAATAACACAGATATTTTCCAAGAGTATTTGAAACTGAAAATCAGAGAAAACCCTTCTCAATTCTTCATTAAAAAAAAAAAAAATCAGAAAGGCTTATCTAAGAACAGCACTTTAGTTCATTTTGAAAAAGCAGATGCATGGGGAAAGGACATTTACCCTTTAGCAGCAGCTGGAAATCCCACAGAGTATCAGAAAGGCTTATCTAAGAACAGCACTTTAGTTCATTTTGTAAAAGCAGATGCATGGGGAAAGGACATTTACCCTTTAGCAGCAGCTGGAAATCCCACAGAGTACAGTCACCATAACACACTAATAGCTAAAAGCCTTCCATAAAACACATCTTCATTAAAGTAGTGTTGACAGCTGGTCTCCACTGAGGGGTTCTGATGTGCTGGGCACTCTGACAAGTAAGTTCTTACATTATTTAATCCTCACACCATCCTCCAAATAGGTCTTATCTCCATTTTACATATTAGGAAACTGAGGCAGAGAGAGAAGAATTTACTTGCCCAAAGTCTTGGCTAGAAAGTAGCAGATCTGGAATTGAAATCAAAGCAGTCTGGTCCCTGAGCCTGCATTCCATGGAAGTGACAGCTTTTAACGAGAGCATGTGGTTTGGTATTGGGTCAATGTGGAACTGACTCCATTTTAGGCCCTTACCAGTTGTTATGTCTT